ACTTGAAATGCAAACGTCAGGTTTTTAAGATATATCAAGTTTTCCAGAAAAATAAATAAATGGCAATTTGGATTTGAGTGCATGTCACTGTTTGATTTCACTTTATTTTTGTGTCTGAAATCCCACTAAATTGATGGCAGCTCACACAGAAAAAAAAGGGACTGGAGTGAAAAACCGCCCCGTCTCAGGAAGAACATTCCCCGGTTACTCCACCACACACATCCAAATCCCATCGCTCCTTCCCATCAGCCTATACCCGAGGTATTTTTATAGATCTGACATCATCCAGTGCGTTTTTTTTGGTGTTGAATGTATGGCAGTTCAATTAGATTTGTATCGTCTAGTTTAATGTTTTTTGTAATCATACTTTCCTGTGATCCTCTCCCTGTTCCTATTATTTGATTTTGATTTGATTTTTGGGGTTCTTTATGTGGAAGCGCACTGTTCGGAGCTCATCGTGTTGTTTATATGCAATATTCTGAGATCCTCGGCCAACTCCAGTCAGGTTGGCTCCAGAACTGTAGGTTTGGTTTTTAGTGTGAGTATTTGTATTTGTTTATTGTACCGAGGTGAACATTTAGCATACAGTACAGTTCAAATAAAAATACCATTCTGACTTTCTGTACTTTTGTGTTTGTTTTGGTTTACACACACGTTTAGGAAGGGCAGGTTCGCATCTTCTGCATTGCTGTGACCTTCAGATGGCCCTTCAGATGCTTCTGTAGGACACAAGGGGTCGCTGTGGCTCTGGGTTTATATTGTATGCACTAATGAGAATATATTCAGGTGTTTTAATGGCCTGTTGCAAAATAACAAATCACAGTAGATTCTAAGCACCCTTGAGTGTTTTCAAGAAGTCTCTAGAATTTTTTTATTAAAAGTAAATGTGTTCTTTCTATAGATATAGTTTCTATCTATCTATCTATCTATCTATCTATCTATCTATCTATCTATCTATCTATCTATCTATCTATCTATCTATCTATCTATCTATCTATCTGTCTGTCTGTCTGTCTGTCTGTCTGTTTATCCATCTATCCATCTCTCTTATCAACCTATCTATCTATTAATCTATCCATCCATCCATCCATTCATCGACCTGTCTATCTATCGACCTATCCATCAATCCATCCATCCATCCATTCATCCATCCATCTAATGTGTGTGTATATATGTATATTTAATTTTAATAGTAATAAACTGAATCATAAGAAAGTTAACATTGAGAATAGTTCACAATAAATTTAATATCTAGAGACTCCTTGAACCATTCAAGGTGCTTAAAATAGTGTGATTTGGTATTTAATATGATTTAATTATAATGTATAGTAATTATTTATTCATTCATTGTCTTGTCGGCTTAGTCCCTTTATTAATCTGGGGCCGCCACAGCTGAATGAACCACCAACTTATCCAGTAAATGTTTTACCTTAAATGTTTATGTTTTGTCCCATTACAAAATTACACAAACTAACACTAGTTTTTTTTGAACGAGTGTTTTCGAGGAGTCTCTAAATGACAGGAATATTGTGAAATATTCTCTGAATCATTTTATATATGAAAAATAAAAATAAATGTGGGCAAAAAGGTTGTTGTTTTGAGTCCTAGCAGGGTCAGCTGGCATTCCTGTGGAGTTTGCATGTTCTCCCCGTGTTGGCATGGGTTACCTCCGGGTGCTCCGGTTTCCCCCACAGTCCAAAGACATGCTATAGCATTCCCAGACTGATTTTGTGTGCATGGTATATGGTCACGTATATAAATATGTATATAATATAATATAATATAATATAATATAATATAATAAATTATAATATAATATAATATGGCAATGCAGTGGTGCAGTAGGTAGTGCCTCACAGCAAGAAGGTCCCTGTTTCGAGCCTTGGCTGGATCAGTTGGCATTTCTGTGCTGAGTTTGCATGTTGTCCCCATGTTCGCGTGGGTTTCCTCTGGGTGCTATATAATAATTAATTATTCATTTTAATTATAATATGAAATAATCATATATTAATAAATATTTTATATCAAATTTTAACAATATAAAATATTTTGTAAAACAAAAATTAGATGCAAAAAATGTAAGTATCTGCTAAAAATTGTAACATTGCTTTTGGCTAAATACTTTTGGACTACTTTAAACAATAAATATATTTTTATACATTTAAAAATAATATAAACTGTCTGAAAACATGGATTTTATTTGAAGTTTGTTCAGTTTTTTTCCTCATTTTGTCATGCTTTCTGTATAATCAAGGAATAAGACCTGTTCATGATTTCTGTATGTTTTATCAGTACCCCTTGACCACAAAACCAGTCATAAGGGGCCTTTTTTTTATAACATAATATAATATAATGTGGTGACGCGGTAGCGCAGTAGGTAGTGCTGTCACCTCACAGCAAGATGGCCGCTGGTTCGAGCCTTGGCTGGGTCAGTTAACATTTCTGTGTGGAGTTCTCTCCGTGTTCGCCTGGGTTTCCTCCGGGTGCTCCGGTTTCCCCCACAAGCCTAAAGACATGTGGTACAGTTGAATTGGGTAAGCTAAAATTGTCCATAGTGTATATGGAATAAGTTGGTGTTCATTCCACTGTGGCGACCCCTGATGAATAAAGGAACTAAAGAAGGCTGAAAGAAAAAGAATGAATAATATAGCCCAAAATACACCACTGCAACATAAGACTGATTTTATGGTATAGTGTCGAATAGAATAGAATAGAATAGAATAGAATAGAATAGAATAGAATAGAATAGAATAGAATAGAATAGAATAGAATAGAATAGAATGGAACATAACGCATTTTTCAATGTTCTGCTGGTATGTGTTCACGCTTTGTTTTACTCCATGATTTGCTCTGTGCTGATATAGGGTGTGTCTTCGGCATATGCTAGGACTTTGGACACTGCCGTTGTTTTTATGAGTGTCAGTGGATCACAGAAGTCAGCTCTATCATTGTTTAAATAGTTCGCATGGACAGACAGATGCCAGACACTGTTTTACTGCTGTAGTTTATGCAGAGAAGCTAAATATACTTCTGCATTAAGTAGGAAAACAGCACAGCCATAAGAGGAGATTAAGAGTTTGTATTATAATAGCTGTATGCAAAGCCAGCAGTTCATAAAACACGAGTCATAGTTTATTGATTTTATATTTTAATTAACCATTTCTAATCAAGTCTGAGTTTATTAAAGGCATATACAATGAAATAAACCAGATCGTATTTTGCAGCTGGCTAAAGTAACTCAAATTTAAAGATGGACTTAGAAGAAAATATATGCGTTATAATTAGAAGTCAAAGACAATAAACTAATGTTTTGCGTTTACTTAGGCTATTAATCGAAATATTATATTACAAGGATAAATCATATTTCGCTTCTCCACTCTGAGTATGACGTAATAAATATGATTTATGCATATGATATTTATATTAATTGTCTAATTTTGTTTGTGTGTTTTTCATGTATTTAAATAGATTTTTTTATCAATACTTAAAGAACTGAGTACAGAACAATACAAATACAAAGAAGAAAGATAGAAAGAAAAAAGGTCAGGGGTGTACAAAAAACTAATATAAGTAAGACAAACAAATATACTCTCACCGGCCACTGTATTAGGTACACCTGTCCACATGCTCATTAATACAAATTTCTAATCAGCCAATCACATGGCAGCAACTCAATGCATTTAGGCACGTAGACATGATCAAGATGATCTGCTGCAGCTCAAACTGAGCATCAGAATGGGGAAGAAAGATGATTTAAGCGACTTTGAACGTGGATCGGTTGTTGGTGCCAGTCGGGCTGGTCTGAGTATTTCAGAAACTGCTGATCTACTGGGATTTTCACACACAACCATTTCTAGGATTTACAGAAAATGGTAAGAAAAAAAAAAATAGTATAAAATATCGAGCGGTAGTTCTGTGGGCACAAATGCCTTGTTGATGCCAGAGGTTAGAGGTGAACAGCCAAACTAATTCCAGCTGATGGAAAGGCAACAGTAACTCAAATAACCATTCGTTACAAATGAGGTCTGCAGAAGAGCATCTCTGAACACAAAACAAGTCCAACCTTGAGGCGGATGGGCTACAGCAGCAGAAGACCACACCAGGTGCCACTCCTGTCAGCTAAGAACAGGAAACTTAGGCTACAATTCACACAGCCTCACCAAAACTGGACAATAGAAGACTGGAGAAATGTTGCCTGGTCTGATGAGACTCGATTTCTGCTGAAACATTCGGGTGATAGTAGGGTCAGAATTTGGCATCAACAGCATAAAACCATGGATTTATCCTGCCTTGTATCAGGGATTCAGGCTGGGGGTGGTGGTGTAATGGTGTAGGGGATATTTTCTTTGCATACTTTGGGTCCATTAGTACCATTTGAGCTTCATGTCAACGCCACAGCCTACCTGAGTTGCTGACCATGTCCATCCCTTTATGACCACAGTGTACCCATCTTCTGACAGCTACTTCCAGCAGGATAATGCACCATGTCAAAAAGCGCGAATCATCTCAGACTGGTTTCTTGAACATGACAATGAGTTCACTGTACTCAAATGGCCTTCACAGTCACCATATCTCAATCCAAAAGAGCGCCTTTGGGATGTGGTGGAACGGGAGATTTGCATCATGGATGTGCAGCCAACAAATCTGCTGCAACTGCGTGATGCTATCATGTTAATGTTGACCAAAATCTCAGAGGTATATTTAAAGGATTAAGGCAGTTTTGAAGGCAAAACGGCATCCAACCCGGTCCTAGTAGGGTGTACCTAATAAAGTGGCCGGTGTGTGTTTGTTTACGTAAACATAGGCTAAAACGGTAAGGGCCTTGTAGAATTACAGAATCGTAAAAGTTTCAAGAAAAAAAACAAAAACGTTTTTGCTTTATGTTGTTCGTGTAATGATCTAGTTATTTTAGTATAGCAGGACAAAATGTTTCTTGGTTAATAAATTTGCATCTCTGAAAGAGTTTGGAGGACGGAGGGATGACCTTTGTACTCTGGCTCCTCCCTCTTCCGCTGCACAGGTAACTTGCGCATGACGTCAGAGCATGAAGGGAGGAAACTGGCTGTGTATGATCTCCAAGTTTTTCCTTTCAAACAGAGGCTAAACACACGGATAAAGATATGTGTGATTTTGGTAAGAACGCCATTTTCTTCGTTTTATTGCAGGTACGGGAGTTATCCTTGTTTTATAGTTTGATTGAAGCCGTAAAAGAGAGAAAAGACTCCAACAAGCTAACAGTTATTTGTTCTCGTAAAGTACGAGGCTGGTGGAATATTTACATTGACCTCTTTTATTCTTTTTGGAGAAAGTCATATTTATAAGCTGGATTGAATAATATTTGAGAATTGTGTGATTTAGACAGAATTTCGCTCAAACTAACAAACGAAGGAAAATGCTTTACCTTCATACACATATATAAACACACGAAAAATACTATAGTACTTTATAGTACACGCTGTAGTGTTTTTGAACCATACTTGAGTGCATGGTGCATTATATACTGTATGTATTGTGGTTTATATAACAATTTAGCAATGGAATTCTACAGCACACAGTTTTAATGACTATTTTGTAGTAACAAATACTGTAATGCACTTGAGTTTTACTACAGTAAACTGCGTTGTGTTGTAGTGTAATATACCCTACAGTTGTAGAATACATTTGGTAAATTGGTTTATGTTAGGAATTTAGCAACCATGGAATTACCACAACAGATTAATTCAAGTACTTCACTTTAGTATAGCTCAAAAACACAAAATTATTTACTATAAACTGGGAATGTTAAGCCAATGTGTGTTACAGATAATTTTTATGGTTGCAACACAAAGTTCAAGCTTTATTGAAAATAAACACTACAAGTTAATTTTTCCACGACTGATCAAAAATCAGTGCAAATACCCAGGTAGCACGTTTTTTTTTTTTTTTGCAATTCAGTGACATCTTGAAATGATATTTCACCCAAAAAGTGAAAACGAACTCCTTTTGAATGAATAAATTTCTGTATTTAACATGGACAATGCACAAAAATTGCATTAACCTCAAAGAGGAAAGATGCACTGTGCCAGGTTGTAGCAGGATTGCTATTTCCACCTGCAGTCCCTGGACAGGTAAAAATTCAAACAATAATATCCAATTAATTAAAAAGTCAGTTTAAAACATTCAGGCATAATCGCATGTAAACTAAAACACTGACAAATCAAAAACATCTCACTCAGTGTGTACAAATTTGATTTGACAAAAACCACCTCCTAGTCAGGCGTGAAAACATCTCATGATTTGTACATGTGATTATTTCTGATGGGAGAGAAATCCATTGATTCGCGGCTTTATAAATAAAAGAAGATTGACCTAAAGAGCTCTTGTGTCTAGGGACAATACATTTCCCTCTTACCACAGAATGTGCCATTTGCAATGTTTTTTCTAATTTGGAATTTTTGTAACAATGGAGACGAAAGATTGTGAAAAAAAAAAAAAAATATATATATATATATATATATATATATATGTATATATATATATATATTTTTTTTTATTATTATTATTATTTTTATTATTTTTTAATGATATATGTATATTTAATAATATATGTATATAATAATATTATCAAAACTTAAGAGACTTTTTGTTTTAAGATATTACAGTGATGGTACAACCAAGGCTTTTTATCATGAATTTTAAGTGCTCTCTTGAATAATGATTCCAATGGTGTTAAAGATGATTTACATGCCTGAGACCAGCTAGTTATACAGTACAACAAATGTGGAACAATCATCCATTCAGTCATTCATTCATTTTCTTTTCGGCTTATTCCCTTTATTAATCTGGGGTCACCACAGCAGAATGAACCGCCAACTTATCCAGCATATGTTTTATACAGCGGATGCCCCTCCAGCTGCAACCCATCACTGGGAAACACCCATACACTCTCATTCACACACATACACTACAGAAAATTTTAGCCTACTCAATTCACCTGTACCACATGTCTTTGGAATTGTGGGGAAACCGGAGCACCCAGAGGAAACCTACTCGAACACAGGGAAAATATGCAAACTCCACACAGAAACAACAACTGACCCAGCTGAGGCTCGAACCAGCGACCTTTATGCTGTGAGGTGACAACACTACCTACTGCGCCACCGCATCGCCATGTGGAACAATCATAGTATTTAAATACATACCAGAGGCCTGATAGGTCAGATAATCTCTGATATGTTTAAAATTGTTTGAATCTCAGTGTGGTAGCAAGTTTGTTTTAATATGAATTTTAAAATTAAGGTTTGAGTCCAACGTGATGCCTAAATATTTGAATTCAGTGACGTTTTTAATACTTTGCCCTGTTAAAAAAATTCTAAAACATTTACAACTTTATACCTATTTGAGAAACACATGGATACAGTTTTTTTTCACATTTGAGGTGAGATTTGAATTTTGCAACCTTTTAAAAACATTTTGCATTTCATTTGTTAATTTAGTAGCGACTTCTATTGGATTTCGTTCCATAAGTGTAAAGCACAGCATCATCAGCGTACATTAATAAATCAGCATCCATGCATAAAGCTGCATCGACGCAGTGGCGCTGTAGGTAGTGCTGTCGTCTCACAGCAAGAAGGTCGCTGATTCAAGCCTCGCCTGGGACAGTTGGCGTTTCTGTGTGAAGTTTGCATCTTCTCCCTGCGTTCGTGTGGGTTTCCTCCATGTGCTCCGGTTTTGCCCACAGTACAATGACATGTGGTACAGGTGAATTGGATATAGGCTAAATTGTCCGTTTCCCAGAGATGGGTTGCAGCTGGAAGGGCATCAGCTGCGTAAAACATATGCTGGATAAGTTGGCGGTTTATTCCACTGTGGCGACCCCAGATTAATAAAGGGACTAAGCCAAAAAGAAAATGAATGAATGCAAAAAGCTGGTAAATAATTTAAATAAATACTAAAAAGTAAAGGTCCTAAAATAGGTCCCTGAGCGGCACTTCTAATTTAATTGGTTTAAAGGTTTTAAAATTTAAATTTAAAATTGAAACCCTGAACACATTGACTCCGATCCCTCAAGTACGATTTTATCCAATTTAGTGTTTGCTTTGAAAGGTCGTAATTGTTTATTTGTTAATTAAAATATCATGGTTAACATTATCAAATGCCTTGCATAAATCAAGAAAGGCTGCTCCCACCACTCCCCCTTGATCTCAATTTGTCTTTATCGTTTCTAAAAAGTAACAGCAAGCTGTCTCAGTTGAATTTTTTATTTTTTTTTCTAAAACCAATCTGCATTTTTAAGTTAAATAAGATATTTTGAAAAGTGTTGGAAACCATTGACTTTTTAATAGTAGGACAAACAAACACTATGAAAGTCAATGGTTACAGGCTTCCAACTTTTTTCCAAGATAATTTATTTTGTGTTGAACTGAACTCAGGTTCAAGTTGTGTTTGTGACAGGTGAATGGTGTAAAAGATGATATCATATCTTATTTAGTGTGATTTTTGAAAACACTGAATGAAATCATGCTCTTTTCTAGACAAGCAGAAGGGCCCTGGGCGGCTGATGAAGAAAGGACTGACCCTCATCGTCATTGGTCATGTTAACTTCATCCTCAGTGCAATTGTCCATGGCAGTGTATTACGCCATGTGTCCAAACCAAGCAATGAGATCTCTACAGAATACACTGTATCAAACATCATCTCCGTCTCATCAGGACTGTTGGTAAATATATACTTCTCCTACACCTTATTTTTGGTCTCTCAACTTTTGGTGTTATTTCATGTCATGTATATGTGTGATGCTTTCTACATCTCGAGAGATTATTCGCTCAGAAAGTGTATGATCAGTGCATGTCTCTTGAATGTAAATCAAAACGGGGTGGTGAGTTTATTTATATTTTAATAAATTTTTTTTAAGTGTTTATGCCAAGAATTTACATTCAGTAACTTTACATTTTTATTTTCAGTTCATTCACTGTCTGAAAACTCAAGCTTATTCAATATAAGTTTATTTGTGTAACACTTTTTTAGGAGTCTCAAAAATAATACATTTATAAACGACAATTCATAGATCCACATCACCATTCACATTCGCAAAATCTAAATCGTAAATTTAAAACACGATTTAAAAATACAAAAATCCAATTCATAATTTTAAAACACAATTTGAAAACACACAGATGCAGTTTATAATTTCAAGACACAATTTAAAAACACAAATCCAATTCATAATTTCAAAACGTGATTGGAAAACACACAAATCCAATTCACAAATTCAAAACACAATTGAAAAACACACAAATTCAATTCACAAATTCAAAACACAATTAAAAAACACACAAATATAACTCGAAAATTCAAATCACTTCATAAACACACAAATCCAGTTCACAAATTCAAAACACGATTAAAAAACTCAAATTCAATTCATAAATTTAAAACATGGTGTGTGTGTGTGTGTGTGTGTGTGTGTGTGTGTGTGTGTGTGTGTGTGTGTGTGTTTGTGTGTGTGTAAGCAAATCCAGTTCATTTGGCGAAAATATATATGATTTTTACTTGTGAATTCTTGTGAATTGTTTACAAATTGGATATTGTAAATGTGAATTGTGCTGTGTGTGCGTGATTTTTATTTTGTAAATGCATTATTTTTGAGTCTGATCTGGTTCCATACTTTTTCATGATAATTATTGTTTCAAAGAATCATTGCTTTACAAAAAAGTGCACAATATGTCATTACAATCAAATGTTTATGCTTTAAAACTTCCATAAAACTATCAAAAAATAAATTCGGATTACATGATTGGTTTAATCCAAACCCTCTATAGAGACAGGATTGCTTTATATGGTAAATATATGTTTTTTTATACTAGTTATATTTATACACTAATAATTGAACATAAAGAGGTATGCTTAAGTTTCTTCTTGACACACAAGAACAAGCCTCAATAGTTCTTGCAGAAGCTCAAAAATGAAACTCACTTTTCATAATGAATCAAGCATCTGTGACTGCGCTTGAATATTGAGGTAAAGTTGGTTTTATATTCACACATTCGTTGATTTTTTTTGAATAGTGACAACTTCTGACATGCTGCTTTTGAATATTCGGTGTGGAATCACATGCAAGTATGACTTGAAAACACAAAACAACATTAGTACCATTTATTTGACTGTGAACAATGTTGTATTTTGATAGTCATTGACTGCTAATATGATCTCTATTTAGAATTTGTAAAGAATACTTTTCTAAAATTGTATTATTAAGAAAAAAGTCTGAATGGGTGAATATGAAACCAACTTTACCTCTATGTAATGCTGATGTAAATGTGAGCTTTCATTTTTGTTTTTGGAAGAATTTTTTGAAGCTTTCAGGGAGTAGATTTTCAATGGAGAGACAGAAATTCCTAAGATTTAATTACAAACATCATCTTTATTTGTAAACCGAGGATGAGCAGTTTGTTGGTTTTATAACAGTGTTAGGTTGAGCAAATGATATCATATTAGCATATACAATATTGGCTTAAGCTGTTAGAGGAAAGTGTATTTTTAAATACAGTTGATGTCATAACTAAAATTACATAAAAAAAAAAAAAAAAGTATATAAAAAAAAAATATATATATATATATATATATATATATATATATATATATATATATATATATATATATATATATATATTTTTTTTTTTTTTTTTTTTTTTAATATATATATATATATATATATATATATTTTTTTTTTTTCTTGAATAAAAGCAGATTTTAAATTTTTTTTTAAACAAATTTTAAAGTAAATAAAACTATTTGCCCTGCCTTAAGTTTTTTCCTATTGTCTACAGATCAAATAACTTGCAGAAGTAACCTTACTTCCCTAGTTAAGTCTTATTAGTTATTAGTTATTAAAACTATTATGTTGAAAAATGTGTTGAAGTCTGTCTACTCTCCGTTAAGCAACAGTTGGAAAATATTTTTAAAAGAATTAAATTTACACATTAGCACTAATAATTTTCAATTCAACTTTATACAACAACACATTCAACGTATGTTTCCTGGGCAGTTTTAACATTTTCTATTTAAGAAAATGAAATGCTCAAACCAAGTCATGTTAATCTTTTTCTGTTTCTCAGAGCATTGGAAGTGGAATTGTTGCCATATTGGTGTCAAGGAATATTGCCAATTGGAAACTAGTAAGTAAGACATACAGTCAAGGCCAAAATTATTCATACCCCTGGCAAATTCTGATTTAAAGTTACTTTTATTCAACCACCAAGTTTTTTTGTTTTTTTTTCTTGACTGGAAATTACATGGTCTTCTCCCAAAAGATAAACATATTCTTGTGGAAAGCCCTATTTTTAACATTATCAGAGATCAATTTTTTTTTATCTGGAAAGGCTTTAATGAAAATATTTTTAAATGTGAATCCTTCCTAATTTGTAAAGTTTTTATAAAAGTTAAAGTTAAAGTTATTAAACCACTGTTTTACATCAGAATTTGCCAATTATTTGAATGAATAATTTTGCTTGTCTGCATGAGTGACAGTTTTGTAAATACATTACCTGACAAAAGTCTTGTTGCCTACCTAAGTTTTATGAACAACAAATAATAACTTGACTTGGCCTTTTGAATTATTTCATTAGGAGAGTAAGATCTCACTTTGCTTAGTCACTTTGCTTAGTTATTTCTGTCACTGAACAGAAATAATGCCCAGTATAGAATATAAAGTCATGGTGCAGTGGAAAAAGAGTTAATATTGTGTCTGACTCCATCATGAGCTTGGAGGACTGCATCCATACATCTCTGCAATGACTCAAATCACTTATTAATAAAGTCATCTGGAATGGCAATGAAAGCGTTCTTGCAGGATCCCAGAGTTCATCAAGATTCTTTGGATTCATTTTCAATGCCTCCGCCATCTTCCCCCAGACATGCTTAATAATGTACATATCTGGTGACTGAGCTGGCCAATCCTGCAGCACCTTGACCTTCTTTGCTTTCAGGAGCTTTGATGTGGAGGCTGAAGTATGAGAAGGAGCGCTATCCTGCTGGAGAATTTGCCCTCTCCTGTGGTTTGTAATGTAATGGGCAGCACAAATGTCTTGAGACCTCAGGCTGTTGATGTTGCCATCCACCCTGCAGATCTCTCACACGCCCCCATACTGAATGTAACCCCAAACCATGATTTTACCTTCACCAAACATGACTGATTTCTTGAATAATCTTGGGTTCATGGTGGTTCCAGTAGGTCTTCTGCAGTATTTGTGATGATTGGGATGGAGCTTAACAGATGATCCATCAGAAAAAATCTACCTTCTGCCACTTTTCCAAATGATGAACTAGAAATCAAGTTATTATTTATTACTCTTACAACTGGGATCGAGGACAAGACTTTTGTCAGGTAGTGTATACTGTAAAATGCCACGTTTCTCCAGTGTTTGACAGCTCTGTTGTTCTGCTTTTCTGTAGCACATCGGTCTGTTAGTGAGTTCCTTTCTGAATGCTCTGCTCACGCTGGCGTGTTTACTGGGGCTGATTCTGGCCATCAGTTTGACCATTTCAGGAGACGGGTCAGCACTCATGAAAGGATGTAATTCCACTAATATGCCTGTGAATGCACGCTCTCCGGTCATCGTCAACTGCCCTTTTGATGCCACACGCATCTATGTGAGTCTTATCTTGAAACTAAACCCGTTTGAAATATATCTGTAGTCAAAATCATTCGCCTTCCTATGAATTTTATTTTTTTATTTTATTTTTTAAATATTTCCCAAATGATGTTTAACAAGAGCAAGAATATAATATTTTTATATTTCCTATAATATTTTTTTTCTGGAGAAAGTCTTATCTGTTTTATTTCGGCTAGAATAAAAGCTGTTTTAAATTTTTTTTAAAAACATTTTAAGGTCAAACGCATTAGCCCCTTTTAAGCGATATATTTTTTTGATAGAACAAACCATTATTATACAATGACTTGCCTAGTTAACCTATTAACCTAGTTAAGCCTTTAAATGTAATTTTAAGCTGAATACTAGTATCTTAAAAAATATCTAGTGAAATAATATTTACTGTCATCATGGCAAAGATCAAAAAAATCAGTTATTAGAAATGAGTAATTAAAACTATTATGTTTAGAAATGTGTTGAAAACAATCTTTCCTTAAAACAGAAATTGTGGAAAAAATCAAATGATTGCAATTTAACAGGAAGGCTAATATTTAAGTAAATAAAATTGGCTAATAAAATATTTTAACTGTATGTATGGACAAAAGTTTACAACATCAAAAGTGAGTACACTAGGGTTGGGTCGATAGACGATCACGATGCTGAGCCGGCATCACAATCCTGTGCTCCACCCAGAGGCGTAGCACAAAATGCGGGTGGCCCCCTGCACGGATTATTGACGGGGGCCCCTGGTAAAGCAGCGGAAATCACAGGGAAATGATGGAAATATTTAAAGACTATTTATTTATTTAATTTGTTATTTATTTATTTTTTACATACATGTTATTACCTTTTTGTTGTTACTCACAAAGTGTGAACAATGATTTAAAAGTTTTTTTTTTTCAAGAGTTGTTGTTTAAGTTCATTTAAGGTAAGTAGTTCGAACAAACACCAAACATTTTTTTGAGTGTAATACAGCTTTTTTACATAAGAATATGTCCTGTTTATGTATTTTTTCTGTTGAAAAAAAAGAATAATGACATAGTGAAATTATATTTTTTATTACCATTTTATTACCAAAAAAAATTCAGTGTAGCAATATTATATACCCCAAACAAATATTTTCATGCATATTTAAACAAGAATTATTTGATAAAATATTAGGACTCTATTTGTTTAATTTATTTAATTAATTTATTTATTTCATTTTATTTTATTACAATTTTTTGTTTGTTTTTTTATAAATCACAAAGTGTAAATAATTCAGATTTAAAATGATATAGCAGGGTTCATACAGTACTGGAAAACCTGGAAAAGTCATGATATTTCGAAAAAGGCATTTTCCAAGGTCTGCAAAAGTTTTGGAAAAACAAATAAATTTTTGGAAAAGTCATGAAAATGTGTTTAACAATTATCTGTGTTACTGAATATATTTGAGACGAACTTGACTTATACTTGTCACTTTATTTAATGTGTAAACTTAAAAAATATATATATAATGGGTAAAAGAAGCAATAACTTTAAAAATCAAAGGCAATTTCAGCTTCGCCTCTCTTTCACTCACTTTCACCATAATTCAAGATGCATTTTGAGTGTCGTGTCCAGAAACAACATCCAACTGCAGAGGTAAGATTTTGTGGGTGCTAAAGGATAATTTGTACTAATCTTAAGTCTTGTAAAAACACAAGCAAACATTTATAAAATTTTCACGCAGACAACAAGATACTTTCTAAAAACTATTTTATAGATATGAAAAGAAATATAAGCTACATGGATTGTCACATTTTTTGAAATGCTGTAACAAATTTGTACGTGCATTTTTTTATTTATTTACCGAGTGTAAGTAGACATTACATGAAACACGAAACAAGATCATGAATATTTACCTGAAAGTTCTGGAAAAGTAATAGAAAAGTCATGAAATTTTAGTAGTAAAAATGTGTATGAACCCTGACATTTGTGTTCAGATCATTTGAATTTAGTCTTTTTTTCTGTTCTTTTCAATAACAATAAAAAGAATGTTCTGATAAGTGTTTTTTTACATGTCACAGTTTTTTCTCTAAAACTAAAATTTTCTTGAATAATTCAAGCCCCTAGGTTTTATCCATTTGTCAGAACGATGTTTTTACGAATGTAAAATTTATTAAAATCTATTATTATTATTGATGTTTTGTTATACAGTGTGGAAAATTAGTATTGAACAGGTCATGTTTTTTTCTTGAAAATATTATTTTGACATGGAATTAATTTGGATTTTGGTTAAATCCCAAACAATACGAACATAAAAATAAAACTAAACAAACAAATCTGAAAAATGAGTTGTGTGTGATGACAATGAAATGACACAAGGAGAAAGTGCTGAACTACTGAAACGTATTTAATAATTTTATATGAATTATATATGAATTTTTATATATTTTCTTTCTCTGAAAGCATTTGAGAGTTTCCTTGGCTGTGTTTTGGATCATTGTCTTGCTGAAATGTCCACCCTGGTTTCATCCTACTGCTTATGTAGATGTTGGACTGAAGCAGCTGATATTCATTTACACTGAGGAAGGGCAGAGGGTTGCTGAAGAACCACTGAGAGATTTCAGCTGCTGTCTGGGCTTTCACTGCCTTTCTACACCTCCCTTTCTTCATGTGTTCAACACTTTTTCCCTGCGTCATTTCCTTTGATTACACATAACATCATTTGTAATCTAATTAGTTAAGTTTTCTTAGCATATATGAGTTTCTTTGGTTGTTACCAAGATCTGGGAAAAATTTCAAGTCAATGGCTCCTTTAAAATATGGTGACGTGTTCAATACTTACTTTCTCCGCTTTATATGTTGCTAATATGTTGATTTATTTTATCATATTATTATTTTTAAACTTGTTTATGTAAAAAATGTATAATAGACAGTTACTTGCTTTTAATATGCTTTCTATATTTATACAATAACTTTATGTAAAGTTTAATGTGATGCAGTCACCAAAATGGGACGTCTCGTTTTTGACTTCTGCATTAATACCCAAATGGCTAGTCTGTTTTTGAACTAAAATATATTTAAATCCTTAACTAACTTTCTCCTTTTGTTTGTCACCCAGGACACAACTCTTGCTCTGTGGTTCACCTGTGGTGCGTTCACTGCAGTGGAGGCCGGTCTGTCCGTTTGGTGCTTTATTGTGGGTCTCCAGTTAAGAGGCATCGGCCCTTGTGCACAAAACTACATCAGAGAGCAGGTATTCACAACTCTCAGTATTCATGCTGACAGCTAAACTTTTGAACCTGCTATGTAAAAACCATAATCATCCTCGCAGGGATTTTCTGTGAATCTAACAGATTATGCAAATGATTCAGCAGAACTCATTTAGATGCATGAGGTAGAAATAAACAGTTACATTACATTCAGCGCACTGCTTGTTATTAAATGTGCAAGTAAGTAATTTTATGAGAATGTGTAAAGATTTCTGGTTCTTTAGTGCTTATTATTTATTTAGAATTTTTAAAATTCACTCACCGATCACTTTATTAGGTATACCTGTACATGACTATATATATATATATATATATATATTTACACACACACAGTTGAACCCAGAAGTTTACATACACTCTAAAAAAAGGAACATAGCCATTTTTTTAAAAATGTCTGATCATAAATCATACTAAATATTTACTATTTTAGGTTTGTTAGGATTACCTAAATTACTTACATTTGCTAAATGCCATAATAATGAGAGATTTTTTTTGCGAATTTCTTATTTCTAGACGGTCAAAAGTTTTACATACATTTCCTTGGTATTTTTTTAGCTTTGCTTTTAAACTGTATAACTTTGGTCAAATGTTTTGGGTATCCGTCTTCCTCGCAAAAGCTTTTTCAACTCTGCCCACAAATTTCCTATAGGATTGAGGTTAGTGCTTTGTGATGGCCACTCCAAAACATTTACTCTGTTGTTCCAAAAAGGACATTTTAACTAATTCAGCAGTATGCTTAGGGTCATGGCCTGTTTGGAAGACCCATTTGTGGCCAAGTTTTAATTTCTTGGCTCAAGTCTTGAGATGTTGCTTCAATATTTCTACATAATGTTCTTTCTTCATGATGCCATCTAAGCTGTGAAGTGGACCAGTTCCTCCAGCAGCTTAACAGCCCCACAACATGATGCTGCCGCCCCCATACTTCACAGTTGGGATGGTGTTTCTAGGCTTGTAAGCTTTCCCCTTTGTCCTCCAAATGAAACACTGGTCATTATGGCCAAATCGTTCAATCTTAGCTCCTTCAGACCACAGGACATGTCTAAAAAAAGTTTTCTTTTTTCCAGTGTAATTTACCTAATTGTAATCTGGCTTTTTTGTTGATTCTGACTTGTTGATTTTCCCATGTTGTCACACAAGAAAGCAGTGTGTTTGAGGTTTTTCTTAAATACTATTCAACAGTTTTAGTCCCTCCAATTAACTTAAATGTTGTCAATTAGCCAATAAGAAACTTCCAAAACTTTGACATCATTATCTGGGCTTTTTCAGAGGCATAATAATCCTAATGTATGTAAACTTATAACAATTTCTCGAAACGTATATCTCTCATTATTCTGCTATTAAGCATAACTGAAACTAATTTGATAATCCTAACTTACCAAAAAGAGAAGAAGTTTGGTCACATTAACATCTGACTTTTTTCCAAATGGTTGTGTGCCTTTTTAATCAGTGTATGTAAACTTTTGGTTTCAACTGTGTATTTATATATATATATATATTATATATATATATATATATGGGGGGGGGGTCTCGTCTTCCTCCTTTTTTGTCCTTGGCTGCTCACACGCCTGCCTTTTATTATTAGCAATCCTTATAATGCAGTTCAGTTTAAGGAGTTAAACATGTAGACTGCTGCAGGTTGTGATATTTTGTTGTTAAGCTTGCTTCTATGATTCTATGTTTGAGTAAAATTGTACATTTTACCCTATTGTTTCTTTCATTGGCTTTCCTGTTATGTCCTGCACTGCATGTACATAAAAGAACTCTAATTTGCATTTAAATTTAGCAGTCAACTAGTTGTTAATTTTCATTTTGTACTAACAGCAGAGTTGTTATAAAGCTAAATTCAGTTGTTGACCACGCATCACTAGGCATGGGATAATAAACGGTTTCAAGGTTTACTGAGGATCTGGAAAAGTTAAGGTTTTAAAACAGCAAAAATTTACCATTTTTCCGGTATTTGTACATTTTTTAAAGTTTTTACGGCTATTTTATATAGTTTTTAAGGGCAACCGTATCTCCAGCAGTAAAGGAGCCTCCACATTAAAAGCTACCGGTCACACTGCAAAAAATGCTTCTTTTACTTAGATTTTGTGTCTTGTTTCTAGTCCAAATATCTCACAATTATTAAATCAAGAAGAATTATCTAGACAAGCAAAACATATTGTCTTGTTTTCAGCAATAATGTGCCAAAAATTAAGTAAGTTTTTACCTAAAACAAGCAAAATAATCTGCCAATGGGGTAAGCAAAATAATCTTATGTCAAAAGGAAAAACAAGATTGTTTTGCTTACCCCATTGGCAGATTATTTAGCTTGTTTTAAGAAAAATTCACTTAATTTTGGCATATTATTGCTGAAAGGAAGGCAATATGTTTTGCTTGTCTAGAAAATTCTTCTTGATTTAAGAATTGTGAGATATTTGGACTCAAAACTAGACAAAAAAACTAAGTAAAAGAAGCATTTTTTGCAGTGCAGCCCACGATTCAGCAAACATCTGAAAAACAAATTGTTATTGATTTATTTGTGTTATTTAGCCTGACATGTTTACAGTTACAAAACATTTTAGATATTTTTTTAAATATCTTGTGTTCAATGGGGAGAAAGTTTTTTGCCTGGACATTTAAAAAGAACCTCTTTTAGAGCAGTAATCACAATGCCGTCATTTGTTTATCCAAGCTTATCATACCCTCAGAATCTTATACCAGCCCATGCCTACTTGTCACTCATGTACATTACTGAAAGAAAGATGACCTGGCAACTGCATTTTAGTTCTTCAATGTGATTGTTTGTTATAACAGCTGGAGGAGGAGGCACAGGCATCCAGATCAAAGATGGAGGAAGACCACACAACACAAGGAGTGCGTCTCATTGCACATCACTCAGCCAGCCCTTAAAGAGAGAGAGAGACAATGCTGAAGTTCAGGTGGAATATTTACATGCTGTCTGTGATTATGCCTCTGTAGTGAAATACACCATAATGGTAGATTTCACACGGAGCAACATTTTGTATTTGTGTTATTTGATAATGTTGTTTTTGTAGGTTATTTGAAGCACTGAGGTTATGATGCAGACTGTGTGTCAATTAAACTTAAACTTTAGGAACGCTCTATTTTTTTAAAACATAGGCACATTTTACAATGCTTCAAGAGTTAAACAGTTGAGTTGTATTATTGTTAGATCCATTAAACTGATCTCCGGGTGGGGTGGGAACACTTTTAGCTTAGCATAATTCATTGAATCGGATTACACCATTAGCATCTCTGTCAGATAAAAAAATAAAGAATGAGAGTGCACTCAAAAAATGAGTGCTGCTTGCTTGTTCAAACTACTTATTTAGAATAAGCTGAATCAACACAATTCTTTTTTGCGGGAGGGGGCAACTTAATTGTATTATGTTCAATCTGCTTAAATTTTTTATTGGAATTAAGTTAACTTTAAGTTAAGTTTTTATGTAAGGACAACATGAAGGGAATTGTTTAAAACCAAGCATGTTTTACAGTGTATAGTTCCTAGCCATGTCAGCCTAGATAATAGCAACATTTAATTTTTCGTCAGATTTAGTAAATGATGCAACTACAGCGGAGTCAAGCTTTAAATATTAAAATGATCAAATATATTTTTGACTAAACCATTTTCAGCAGAGATGTTTTTATTAGATGCAATGAGAGAGTGAAATTCTAAAATCCTTTTTGAAATTGAGTGAGATGCTAATGGTCTAATCCAATTTAATTATCTATGCTAAGCTAAGCTAAAAGTTCTCTGAAATCGACTAAATGGATTACAGAATGTTTGTAAAAACTTGTAAAATGAGCATATATCCAAAAATACTTGTTCCTTTAAATAAGTTAGTTAAATCTTTTCCGTCTACTATAGATTGTAATTAATCCCAAAACAACATTGACGGTGTTCATTATGTAGTTTTTTATGTAGTTACAAATTATCTCATCATTTTTTGACTAAATCATTGTCAGCAGAGAGGTTTTTAATGTTAGAAAAGCTGCTTTGTTGCCAAGTGTTGCCCTGTCGTTTTAATATAAGCAATGAAATTATAAATCACTGAATCCTTTTTTTAAATTGAGCAAGATGCTAATGGTCTGATCCAATTCATTGATTTATGCTAAGCTAAGCTAAAAGTTCTCAGAAACTGACTAAATGGATTAGAAAATGTTTGTAAAAACTTGTAACATGAGCCTGTTTCCTAAAAATGTTGAGTGTTCCTATAAGTAAGTTAAATTTTCAACCAAATTGTTTTCTAGCTACTTCTATAGATTGTAACTAATCCCAAAACAACATAGACGGTATTAATTTATGTTGTTACAAAATTTTTTATTTATTTATTTTTGACTAAACCATTGTCAGCAGAGATGGGGCTTTTTATGTTGGAAAGGCTGCTTTGTTTTCAAGTGTTGCCATGTCCTTTTATTATAAGCAATGAGAGTGTAAAACCATCAAATCCTTTTTGAAATTGAGTAAGATGCTAGTGGTCTAATCCAATTCAATAATCTATGCTAAGCTAAAAGTGCTCGAAGATTGGCAGAATTGATTTAAAAATGGTAAAACTCAACTGTTTAACTTGTAACATGAGCCTATTTCCAAAAAAAAGTTCAGTGTTCCTTTGAAAAAATTCGGTTCGAAAACTCAACTTATTTAAGTCTCTTTCTATAGATTGTAATTAATCCTTAAAACTACACAATGAATACAGTCCATGTTGTTTATGTAGTTGCAAATTGTCTAAATATTTTTTTAATAATCCATTGTCAGCAGAGATGTTTTTAATGTTAGAAAAGCTGCTTTGTTGCCAAGTGTTGCCCTGTTCTTTTATTATAAGCAATGCATAAAATTATTGAATCCGTTTTGAAATTGAGTGAGATGCTAATGGTCTAATCCAATTTAATGATCTATGCTATGCTAAGCTAAAAGTGCTCTGAGATTGGGGGAATTGATTTAAAAAGGCTAAAACTCAACAGTTTGACTTGTAAGATCAGCCTATTTCCAAAAAAGATGAGTGTTTCTTTAAATAAGTTAAGTTTTCAAACCAAATCTTTTCAGTTTAGTTGTATAGATTGTAATTAAATCCAAAAACAGCATATACTGTATTCTTTTAGTTTTTTTATGTAGTTACAAATGATCTTTTTTTTTTTTTTGCTAAATCATTGTCAGCAAAGATGTTTTTAAACTTCAGAAAGGCTGCTTTGTTGCCATATCCTTTTATTTTAAGCAATGAGAGTATAAAATTATTAAATTTAATTTGAGCAAGATGCTAATGGTCTAATCCAATTCAATGATCTAAGCTGAGCTAAAAGTGCTTGGAGATAGGCTCAATGGATTCAAAAATGTTTGTAAAATGAGCCCAAATCCAAAAAAAAAATTTGAGTGTTTCTTTAAATACGTTGAGTTTTTGAACCAGTTTTCTGTCCATTTGTATAGATTGTAATTAATTCCAAAACAAACAACGTAGACAGTTGGGCTGCATGATATCGAAAAAGTCAACAAAGTCATTTGTTTTTCTGCAATATTGTGATATGAATACAGTTTCAGCAGAGGATTTAAATAGATCTTTTTAGGAAGAATTCAAGTACATAACTTGAATAATGAAATGTAAATATAGTCTTCATTGTATAATTAATTCAATAATAAAAAAAAAAAACAAGTAGTACTATTTCTTGAGTCAGAATATGTTAAACTCTCTTGATTGAGAGCCACAGACCTTAAAAACATGTCAATGATAAACTTTTGCTCCATTGAGGTTAAAATCTCCAATGACTGGCTCCTGGTCAAATATAATTCCAATTCCACATTTTGACTATTGTGGATGCACACATTACAATATCGTCGCTGAAGCAATATAATGTGCAGCCCTAATAGACTGTATTCACTATGTAGTTTTTTTATGTAATTGCAAATTTGTTTTTGTTTACATTGAAACTTGTGCATAATTTCAGAATTAAGTTTTCTAAAGTGAGCTTTTGTATGCTTAAAAAAGATATTATGTTATTGTTGTCAGATATACTGAATATCATTGTATTTTAGTTTGAAAGGATGCAACTGTTTTGACTACTTAGTGCCAAAGATTGATCTCTTTATTGGCGGTAGATATACAAATATTTCATTGGCAGTGTGTCAGAGTGCCGTGAGAGACATTAATGGCTCAATGATGCAGGGAAAATCTCCCATTGGCAGATGATCCAGCGTGATTTAAGTAGTTAATGCTGAGGGATAGAGACATGACTGACAGTCAAAACAAAGAGATTTCCCTCTCCATGATCTGTGGGATTTCATTTCAAAACAGTGTTTGTTTAGAGAGCCGTCATTTTGCTTTTAATTCCTGACGGATTACAGAAAAGTCCCTCATTCCAATGCAGAACCTTTAATGTCTACATTTCATTTTATTACGTTTTTTTTTTTTTGATCTTGTATGTATGTAGTTGTTATCAGTGTGCGTTATATTTGAATAAATACATATTGATATGACCAACAGAGTGTGCTCCATAATCATTGAATATTGTTTCCATTAGGTTTTCATTTTTATTTTATTTATTTAATTTTTTTAAGATACAGACGGAATTATTAGCCAACTTGTGAATTTCTAGATATTAATAATAATAATGGCATGACATTTCCACAGCATTCATTCATGCAATCATTAGTTTTCTTTCGGCTTAGTCTCCATATCAGAGGTTGCCACAGCGGAGTCTACCACCTATTCCAGCATATATTTTACGCAGCAGATGCCCTTCCAGCTGCAACCCAGTACTGGGAAACACCCATACACACTCATTCTCTCACACACACTTATACACTACGGTCAATTTAGTTTATTCAATTCACCTATAGCACATGTCTTTGGACTTGTGTGGGAAACCGGAGCACCCAGAGGAGACTCAATCCAGCAAACTTCTTACTGTGAGGCGACAGTGCTAACCACTGAGCCAGTGTGCGGCCCTATTTTCTCAGCATTTCCTATATTTTGTCTTCTGGAGGAAGTATTATTTCTTTAAAGGTCTCATAAAGAGATTTGTAATGTGCATTTTTTTTTATTTAATGTTTGACGTAATCTCAAAAACGAAAAGAGAGCAAGACAGAGTAGCTCCTCCCCTTTTAAAAAAGCAACCAATAGCATTTTGTTTCATCACAGCTGTGCCTGTGAGAGTGGTTGAGCTCAAGTGCATCAAATGCGAAGCATCTTGAAGGGGGTGTGGCATGTCAGATACTAGAGAGCATTTGATTGGTCAGAAGATTTTATTAGAAACTGAAGCATGAGGTGAATAAAACACTGATCCATTTAGGCTGAAGTGACAAACTACAATCTTCATCAGTTTTATATCTTCTGTTTTGTAGCACACTAGCTTATAGATATCCTAAAAGACTAACATACTGATACGAACATCTGAAAAACTTGATTGTCACTGGACCTTTAAGGCCCAATCCCAATTCTACCCCTTAGCCCTTCACCTCACCACTACCCCTCAGTTTGTGGGTTTACATGAAGGGGTAGGGATCACAATTCTCTTTAGTTTGAAGGTCTAAGCCGAAGGGCTATGTAGCTCTTAAAACTGAGATTTTTCAGGATCACACTTGAAACCAAGGGGCATGGAAATTTCCCAGAAAACACCAGCTACAATGGCAGCATGGCTGCACATGAAAGTCAGGAGATGCACAAATTAGCATTTTTTGAAGCCCTCCCATGCACACTCTGTCTCAAGGGGTAGGGATTCAAAAATAGAATTGGGTTTGGGCCTAAGTTTGACATAAATAAAAGCAATTTTTTTATTTTGTTGTAAAATATATATATTTAATTTTGAATATTTTATTTAACATTTATAAGATATTGAACAAAAGGTACAATACCAGAAAAAAAAAATAGTACAGAAAAATTGACAATAATATAATATACACACACGCGCACACACAACATATGTAGCATTAACAAGAGATGAAAATACCCACATTTTTACAAAGCCAGTGTCATGCTTATAGGTTTGAAATAAAGAGGAGGATTTACAAACTTAAAATGCTTACTTTAATTAAAGTGCAATCAACATCAGCATAAAAAGTGTCATTTTTAAAAACTCAAAAGTTCAAAAAAGTCATTTGACCTCCTAAAGAACATTTTGTGAAGACCTTCTGTACTTTCAGTGACTCTGTTTAGATTATAAAAATCATTCTTCATTCCTGTTTTGTGTCCGTGTTCGTCTTGAGGTCTGTCTGTGTAAATTCATGTGTAAGTGGAGGATGTTTTCTCTGTGTTCTGATAAAGCTGACTTCACTGCACCTGTTACATTTCTGGACATCTGCAGTGCATCAGGGTGACGGAGAATAGTTCTGTATAAACTGCAGGATCAGGCTTCAAACTTTATGATTCTTCTTTATCATTTGATCAAGATAAGGGAAGAAAAGGCATCATAAACCAACATGGCTTCCCTTATGATGAAGGTCACTGAAATGTATTTAGCAGAGTTTTAATAACCCTTGTTCATATTTGTGTCCTTCTTTCTTTCTTTCTTTCTTTCTTTCTAATTTATTTATTTTTCTTCTTTCTCTGTCCTTTTTTAAATTTTGTTTAGTTTTTTTCATTTCATTTTGTTTCTTTTCTTTGTTTTTTCTTTTACTTTCTGTTTCTTCTTTTCTTTGTATGTTTTTTTTCTCGCTTTACTTTTCTTTCTTTTTTCTTGTTTGTTTTTCTTTATTTGTTCTTTAGCTTTCCTTGTTTATTTTCATTTGGTTTTTGTTTCTCTTCGCTCTTTCTTTTTCTTTCTTCCTTTTTTTCCTTTAATTCTTTTTTTTAACTTTTTATTACCCCTATTCATATTTCTATCTTTTTGCCTTCAATTTTCCTTTCTTTTCTTTTCCTCTTTTCTTCTTTTTTCTGTTTTTTTTCTTTTTCTTTTTTTAGTTTTCTCATTTTGTTTGCTTTCTTTTTTCTTAGTTTTTTTTTCTTCTTTCTTTGTTTTTTTCTTTGTTAGTTTTTTTCATTGTTTTTGTTTTATTTTTTCTGTTAATTTCTTTCTTTTTCCTTGTTTTTTCTTTGTTCTTTTCTTTTCCTTTAACTCATTTCAACTTGCTAAAATTAACAATAAAAAGTCTAACATAATCAGTTACTTGTTATTTATAACACATACATAAATTGTTTTAATAAATTACAGTTGATGCAGAGTAGGACATCTCAACTTTAATCTATATGTGGATTTAAAAATAAAATACTTATTTTCATTTCAAGCAATATATTCAATTTAAATCAATTTACCTTTCTTTGTATAGCGCTTTTACAAGAAGATTGTGTCAAAGCAGCTTCACATAAAAGATCATAGTAAATTGGAACAGAGTAGTTCGGTTTTTAGAGTTTTAAGTTCAATTCAGTCACAGTGTGGTTTAATAATCACTACTGATGGCCTAAACATTGATGAGCAAATCCATCGATGCGTAGCTCTATTGATCCCAAACCATGCAAGCCAGTGGCGACTGCGGCAAGGAAAAATCTTCACCAATTGGCAAAAGTGAAGAAAAAAAACCTTGAGAGAAACCAAGCTCAGTTGGGCACAACCATTTCAAGTTCTCCGCTGGCCAAATGTCTTTTTGCAGAGCTGCAGTCTCACAGTGGAGGCTGGAAGCTGGACATCAGCAAAGACTCGTCTGTCCCTGGAGCATCACAGGAATCAGTCTCATGCTCAGGATACGGCCTGGTCCAGGATATAGAAACCTTGGGATCATCTCGTTGCTGGTGTTTGATCGAATCAGTGACTCCACATAATCTGAGGGCCTCGGGATGAGTATCCCCAGGTGGAAATAGAGAAAAAAAAATAAATGAGTGTAGCTGCTGTTCATAGTGTATATAAACTAGATGCAGAAACCTGTGTAAAAATACGGTAAGTGATGCACTAAGTGTGTGCTTTACTAAACAGATAGGTCTTTAATCTAGTTTTGAATTGGGAGAGTGTGTCTGAGCCTCGGACGTTATCAGGAAGGCTACTTCAGAGTTTAGGAGCCATAAATGAGAGGGCTCGACCTCCTTTACTCGACTTTGCTATTTCTACCAGAAGCCAGAAGAGTTTTGAGATCTTAAAGAGCGAGCTGGATTGTAGCGAGACAGAAGGTCTACAAAATATATAAAATTATTTTTTTACTAAATTTTAATTTACTATTATTTTACTAAAGTTATATTTAAATTTATTAAAAGCTTTTTGTTGACAAATGGGTAAAAAAACTATGCATTGTAGGCAGGGCCGGAGCAAGCTGAACTGCCGCTCTAGGCAGAGGACGATCACGCCGCCCTCAACCCCAATGTGAAAACGAAAGTGACCGGTTATGAAAATGAAGTGACGTGTCGTGGACCTTTATTCTGCCGCCCTATGCGCGGATATAACTGAGGACGCGCGGGTGCTGAGTGAGGGAGGGAGGTGATGCCGACGTTGCTCTCTCTATTCTGCCGCCCTATGCGCGAAAATAACTGAGGACGCGCGGGTGTCGTGGACCTTTATTCTGCCGCCCTATGCGCGGATATAACTGATTACGCGCGGGTGCTGAATGAGAGAGGGAGGTGTCGCTGACGCTGCCCTCTCTATTCTGTCGCCTATGCGCGAATATATCTGAGGACGCGGGTGGTGAGGGAGGTGTCGCGGACATAACTGAGGACGCGGGTGATAGGGGGGTGTTGCGGACGCCGCCCTCTCTATACTGCCGCCCTAGGCGGCCGCCTAGGTCGACTCTATGAACGCGCCGGCCCTGATTGTAGGACAGTGGTAAAATATTAAGATATAAAATGACAATTAATTTGAATTTAGAGCCGCACATTAATTTATCATTAAATCCCTGTCATTCAATTATTGCTGTAAAAATATTCCACGATTATTTAACAAAGGTTTAATTTCACTGAATTGCATCAATGTTGAAATTACTTATATAAATGAATATGCACATTTTGCTCTGGAAACGAGTGCACATGGACTGTAAGCTTGAATAAAATAAAAAGATTGTCATAACCGTAGTTAGCTCCAAGGAAGATGTTTATAACTTAGAATGTAAGATGTGTCTAAACAATAATTAGCATTTTTATGCTTACACTGTAAATTCAAGCAGTATTAAAGTGTCTTATGATAATGAATCACCGTTGAAGTACGTCCGTGGAACATGTTACTTTTCTCAGCGCTTGAGAGCCTCGGCTAATCAAAACCGATAGCGATTACCTAATGCAATTTTTCAGAATACATCTAGCAGAGAAGCCTGTGCTGTATGTTTTAATTCTTTTGTAAAATATCAGTTGACATTATTATCACGTTTAAACGCTTACACAATCTAATCCAATAATTTATCCATCAAGACTCAAAACGTCGCGGGATTTGAATGCACCTCAACGGCGGTTTGTGCATCTGAGCCACCAAGCGCCCCCTATAGGAGATAATAGTTAACATCTCATAATAACAGCTGAAGGTGGGGCGAACTGCGAGTTTCGCTGTGAATATTCAAAGCCGCCAGTCGCCCGTGACGCTCTTCATGTGCTCGTTTCGGGTAGTTTTACATTTTTTTTTCTATCATTCAGCGTCTCAATACAAATAAGCAGCAGAGACGAATGTTTTCACACTGACTGACTGTCTGAGAGAAACTGCAGCGCGGACTTCACAGCGTGTTTCATAATTGTAGGTGCTGAAATCAAACCTGCCAGTGAATCCACACGCTGTATTTTGTCATACGGAGAAACCAGCAGGATCCTTGCCAGGGAAAGGTAAAGTTTCATATGCTTATCATTGGACACGCTGCTCGGCCATTTAACCCTGCTAAATGTGTATAATTGACATACATTTCACATGCTGTTCCTCTCTGGAAATGGATGTTGATTTATGGTCAGACATGAGTAACCTCATCATATGTGCTACACTGCTGACACCGCAGTCCTGCATGAAATATTGAAATATTCGAAGTATATGATATGTGTATAATGCAGGTGTATGTAGACCTGCTACATCACATTGGCTAATTAAATTATTACAAGCAAGTACGATTCGTTTGACATGTCTGTTAGTGTGTAGTGTTTTACATTAGATGTTTTCAGTGTTTGTTTTGTGGTTTCCTAGCTGTTTGAGACAGGTTGTGTGTTTGTAGACTCGCACAAACGTGTTTAAAGGGGGTTGGGAGTTAGCTAGTTAGCTCCATTCAATTCAGATTTAACACAATCAGGATTGAGATCATGGGGAAATTTCGAGGAAATTAGTATTTTTGCATATCCTCGTACATATCTCTCCCATCTTATGACTCTATTGTAGGGCTGCACAATATGTCATTTCAGCATCGATGTCACAATGTGTTTATTCGCAATAGACACATCACAGGATATATGCAATGTTGAGTTTGTATTAAAATTTATGGTTGGCATGTGTTTTTTAATGCTTATTGTATAATGCCTTTAAAAGAATTCAGGTATAAGAAATTGTACTATTTGTATTCTTAACTACAATTAATTGTATTGAATTATTTGTATTTTTAGCATTAAGTTACTGTACTTGAATACTGTTAGACTTGGGAAACAATAAAACACTTTATTTCAATTGTATCTTTTTCTTGACTGTATTTATAGATCATGCATGAATTGGACGGACAACAATGGGAATGTGTCGGGGACCCCAAAACGTTTATAGATTGTTTATTAGATTTAATGCAGATGCAAATAGTAAACATAAATTCATTAATCTCTGACTAAATATGTGCATGAAAATACAACACATGCAAATACAGAAATGCACTGCAAGTAACACAGATCACAACAAAAATTTTTCGAGGGACCCCAAAAAGTTTGTAGTTTGTTTCTTAGATTTTATGGAGATGCAAATAATAAACATTAATTCATCAATGTCTGACTAAATATGTGCATAAAAATACTCACAACACATGCAAATACAGAAATGTGCTCCGAATAGCTCAGACTTCCAACTAAAATGTGTCAAGGGAACCCCAAAAAGTTTATAGATTGTTTATTAGATTTAATGCAGATGTAAACATTAATGCATCAATCTCTGACTAAATATGTGCATGAAAATACTCACAACACATGCAAATACAGAAATGCACTGCAAGTAGTACAGATCACAACAAAAATGTGTCTGGGGACCCTAAAATGTTTATAGATTGTTTATTAGATTTAATGCAGATCATGTAAACATTAATTCATCAATGTCCGACTAAACATGTGCATGAAAATACTCACAACACATGCAAACACAAACATTAACTGCAAATAGGACAGACATCAATGAAAATGTGTAGAGGGACCCCAAAAAGTGTTTAGATTGTTAATTGGATTTAATGCAGATGCAAATAGTAAACATTAGTTCATTAATCTCTGACTAAATATGTGCATGAAAATACTTACAACACATGCAAATACAGAAATGTGCTCCAAACAGCACAGACCACAACTAAAATGTGTCTGGGGACCCCAAAACGTTAATAGATTGTTTATTAGATTTTATGCAGATGCAAATAGTAAACATTAATGCATCAATCTCTGACTAAATATATGCGTGAAAATACTCGCAACGCATGCAAATACAAACATTAACTGCAAATAGGACCGACATCAATGAAAACGTGTCAGGGACTGATTTTATGGAGGAGCACTCCCACTGCAGAATCATCCCAATCCATCTAACATTATAAATTCTTTCCAGAGATATGAAGTAATCTGGTGAAATTGTATTCATATCGCAATATATATATATATATATATATATATATATATATATATATATATATATAAGCGCTGTCAAAATTAACGCGTTAACGCATGCGATTAATTTTAAATAATTAACGCGTTAAAAAAAAATAAGCGCAATTAACGCAGTTCAGGTTTTTTTACTTCCTGTTGTGGTGGACGTGTGTTCAGCATGCAATAAATGTGGATAAGACCAAGGAAGCACTTTTTGAAGGCAAGTTCCAGTATAAAACAATTAGTTGCATCACAGGTTATCCAGAGTTTCATGCAATTTCGGGTGTTTCATTTTTAACTATCGACATCTGTTGTAAGTTGATACCGCATGGCGAACAGAAAGAAAATCCTCAGCATTTCGTGACTCGGTGTTCTTTTAAGGTAAGGTTCCTTTTAAGGCTACACGGTAGAATTTTAATAAGAGTACTATTTTAATCATATTAAAATCGGAGTATTGGTGTCTTATGTAAATGTACTCAGAACGTCTGGTGAAGTCGCGAGCTGTCAAAGACAGGGCATTACTCTGCCTTTCAGCATGAGCCCTCCAAGTTTAGTGTGTTTCCTCATTAAACGCAACGAAAGCGTATGCTTCGCGTTGTTGTGTCAGAATCCTTGTGAAATACCGTAATACTTCAGGACGCTTAGTTTAAGCAAATTTGATGAACGTGATCATGCGTGTTGAATCTGAGGGGAGTTGCTCCAGTATGGAAGGCCGTTGGGGCCAAAATATTTTTTTTGTCTTGCGTTTACATTAATTTTACATTTAAATAGCCAAAATTACAAGTTTCAGTATTTTAAATCTGATTAATCGCGATTGATCGTGATTAATTTTTAAAAAAAGGTGCGATTAATTAGTTAATTTTGTTTTAATCGATTGACAGCACTAATATATATATATATATATATATATATATATATATATATATATATATATATATAGATATAGATGGCATAATGTTTAATTGAATTCATTTTAATAATAATAAAAATCACAATGGTAATTTTGTCAATATTGTGCAGCCCTAATTGAGATCATGAGTAAAATTGTGTAAATTAGTATTTTTGCATATCCTCGTACACATCACTTCCATCTTATTTATGTCTCTAGCTTCTTTCATGCAATTAATCTGAACTAAATTCATTATTAAGTTAAATTCATTATTCAGTGTTAATGCAAATGCAAATTTATTTAGTTTATATAGGCTCTATATTTTATTATTTTATTATTATTTTTTTATTAATTTATTTACAGTAGGTACAAAAAACAGTAACAATCAGGATCTTTTAGACAAAACGTTCTCATTGAAAGTGAAACCCATTAAAAATACAGTATTTTATTCCAACACCATTTAAACAAAAGTCAACAAAATACACATTGCAAATACACATTTTTTAGGCTATATAGGCTTAATATTTTTATTTATAAATCTTTTTTACATTTGTTACAAAAACAGTAACAATCAGGATCTTTCAGACAAAATGTCCTCCTTGAAACCCATTTAAAGTACAGTATTTTATTCCAGCACCATTTAAACAAAAAGTCACACATTTGCTTCAAAATATTTTTGTTTTTTCTTCCCCAAATCTGACTTGTTAAGCAAAGAATCCCCTTTTTACCTGCTTTTGAGCACTACATACAACACAATTTCAGTGTTGATGCAAATACACATTTTTCGGCTATATGGGCTTAATACTGAAAGGTTGATAATCATCAGAAAATGGAATTATATTTAAAAGTAATCCAAATTAATGTTGAATAAATTAAATGAAAATGACAGACTAGTGCCTACTCATTGTTTGAAACTAAGTTGTGCAGTATGAATGTACTTTTATTAATATTATTGTTGGGCTGGGCGAAAAATGCAATCTCTAATTATTTTCCATATTGAACGAAAACAATATATATTTTGACATAAGTTGTTAATGCTTTCAGATTTAAAAGAGTATCCCAATATTAACTGACGCCACAAAAATTGAAGGGTCCATTACATTTGAAGGGCTTACCGTTTTCGGCTGAAGCATTTTTAAATCAACACACTTCTAGATTCCCATTGTTGCACATTTCTGCTGTGTGATTGGCTCTTGAGTAAAAAAGTCCAGAGCATATCATTATTATTGATATACATTTTTATCGCTATTTGATATAATATCGTTTATCTGCTCAGCTCTATATTATAGTCATTTATATATGTAATTTATTTATTTTTATAGTATGGTCACTATGGTGAGCTCTGATGTGACGTGAATTTCCCTTTGGGAGTAATAAAGTCTAAAACTAATTTAAAGTATTTCTTAAATATTTCTGATAATTTATTAAAAAGTATGAGACACATAAATCTTAATCAAGCACATTTATAATCCTTTAAATAAAGAAAATCTTATTTCACTAATACATTAAGTAAAAAAAATACTGTAAAACTTTAATACCAGTCTTGTTTTTTTGCATATTTTCTGCCTGTGAGAAACATGTCCTAAAATAACCCTCAATTTCTTCATTCTGTTACAAACCCCTGATGTTAGTCTAGGGTTGTGGGGTTTGACATTTATTTAATTTTAATATATATTTATATAAACAGTGAATGAGTGGAAAGACAACCAAAGTAATGCCAAAATATGTGTGCTTTTATTTACAATCCCAAAGTGAACAACAACAACGAATTAATCAAAAATAAAAAAAGTAAGGCAAAAATATACTATTTACAATATGTACAACACTGAGACAAATAAAGACGGGAAAAACAAGAGAGCTGGCAGAAAGGACGCGGGCGGCGCTAAAGAAATGAAAAGAACAAAACCCAAACTAAATCTAACTCCCCAGAAGCATCTAGCTAACTAACTATGTGAAAAACAGTATAATTATGTCCTAACTATCTACTCTATCTATCTATCCAAAAAGTACAAGGAGTGGCGCTCGCCCCTAACCTAGTGTACTAGACAGCAGAGTAGTCAGCAGAGTAGTAATATAAATCTGCACATTTGTGTTCGATGTTATGTCTGAAAAATGACCCCAGACATGTTCCTGATAGGTTTTGCGAGGTTCAGCTAGATAATGGATTGTTGGTTTTGGTTTACGGCTGTTATCACAGCTGTTTAAATGCTCTTGTCTACTACAGTAGCTGTTTACATGCTGGGTTTATATGCAAGCTTACGTTGCCAGACACAAAACTAATGAAGTTAACTAGTAAAAAATGGGCAGTTTTGCACACACTGACTTCAGTATTTTACACCAGTTTATTTTATGAATATGTGTTTAGATATGTTTGTGTGGCGGTACAATTCAAAATAAATCTAGTACTTTTAAAAAACCAAACTTTAATGAAACGTTTTTGTATAATAACACAAATTCTTTGCAATTATTAATAAAAGTAATGTTTGTATGTGTATTTATGGTTATTTTGTCTTAAAAATATAAACTCAAGGACTCATATTTGCAACTATAGTTGCTTTTGACCACCTTGGCTTGCTGAATTAAATCCAGTTTCCTCCACAGTCCAAAGACGTGTTATTGGTGAATTGAATAAACTAAATTGGCCGTAGTGTATGTGTGTGAATGAGTGTGTATGAGTGTTTTCCAATACTAGGTTACAGCTAGGAGGGCATCCTCTGTGTAAATCATATTCTGGATAAGTTGGTGGTTCATTTCACTGTTGCGACCCCTGATGCATAAAGGGACTAAGCCGAAGGAAACTGATTAAAAAAAAAAAGCAAGCTATAGGAAACATTGAAAGTTGTTTGTAAATTTATAAAGTTTTTAGAAGACACCAAAATGTAAATTTAATATCTGTAAACTATGTTTTATGTCTATACGCTTTTTAAAGACAATTATATGATAAAAATGCATAAGACTTTTATAGACGTGCTACATGGTTCTTTGTAAATAAATGCTGGCTTTCACAGTGGTTTGAACATAAAACAATAAAGCTTTCCCACAAAAAAACTCAAGTATTGTGTTGTTTCAGCTCATTTTAAATGAGTTTAAATGTCATTTTTTGTTAGTATCTGGAGCTAAAGCACAAAATCATGAGCGTTGCTTGGCCTATTTTGCGAGGCTGTAGCCCCCCTATATTTTTATCCAGCCCCCCTAAAACTTTTGCGATTAGCCCATAAACTGTACACTAAATTATCGCCTCAGTCCCCAAATTTGATAAGAAAACGGTGGCAGAATTCGGCTCCTACCCGTCTTTTGTTTTTCATTTGTTCAGCAAACCACAGCCGTGGACAACGAGAGAATGAGGTGTGTGCTTGTTGATATAAAAATATATAATATCTGCTTATTTGCAGTTCTTTGATATAGCGAACCTTGTATCACCCCAATGTCACACAGGAGCAGTGGGGTTTTCTCGGCGTTCACCTCATCAGCTGTTTCCTCCAGCTAAAAATGTAACTCTTAACGAACATTTCGCTATTTTTATTTCAAAATGAACTACCAATATTAAACACTTTACAGTTCGTGTAGCATTTACCATACCATACAGTCCTGCACAGAAAGCATAAAACACAATGACAGAAGCACTTAGAGAATGTACTCGCTTTAACTGTCACTGACTCACTGACAGAGATAGAAACAAAACATCAAGTGTTGTCTAGTAGTAAAAAAAAAAAAAAAAAAAAAAAAAATATATATATATATATATATATATTTGTTTAAACTATAACAGTTTACAGTAACAGAGTTTTTCTTCATGCAGGGGCGATTTTATATATATATATATATATATATATATATATATATAAAATCACCCCTGCATGAAGAAAAACTCTGTTACTGTAAACTGTTATAGTTTAAACAATACATTGAAGCAATTACTAACAAAATCAAATGTTCCCCGTTGCATTTAGCTTTTTTTCTTCATTAATAATGGATTCTGTTGATTGTGAATTATATTTTTATACATGCAGTCCCCCAAGTTATGGTAATTTGTGATATCATTGTATAACGATGGTTTGGTCTGTAGACAACCAATATATATATATATATATATATATATATATATATTGCTTGAGGGGGCTAATAATTTTGACCTTTAAATGATTCTTAAAAAATGAAAAACTGCTTTTATTCTAGCCGAAATAAAACAAATCAGACTTTCTTCAGAAGAAAAAATATAGGAAATACTGTGAAAAAACTGCAATAAAATGTACTATTTAAATGTCATTACAGATATCGGCTATCAGCTGCCATTAATAGAGCCCCATTATTTGAAGACCACCCAGCCTGAAGACTATTTCTCCTTCATCTGCAGTGTTGCCAGAATGTGAGACAGGATGCATACCAGTTTTAAGGACTCTGATCAAAGCATGCACTGATCCGAGACGCTGGGCAAAAACAGGTATCCATGAAGACACACCGGGCAGGGGATGGAAGTAGCAGATCACTGCGGTATACCTTACACACGATGGCTGTGGTGGATATCTGAATAAACCCTGAAAAGTGCTCCTGTTCGGCCTCTCAGTCTCTCCCCTCCAGCATGGGCTGTGTTGTGGATTTACCTTGGCGAGGGATGTGGATTCTTTCGGTGGTTTCTCTGTTGTCTGGCAGTATGGCCATTCACATGGACTCGGTGGGCAGTCACAGCTTGTTCACCTGCGAGTCGATCGGACTGCGGATGTGCCAGGATCTGCCCTACAATAACACCTTCATGCCAAACCTCCTCAACCACTATGACCAGCAGACCGCCGCTCTGGCCATGGAGGTAAATCTGCTTTTCTTCTGTATTGGCTGTGGATTCAATTCAATTGTATTAAGCTTTATTTCCATAGCACTTTTACAACGTAGATTGTCCCAAAGCAGCTTGACGTAGAAGTTCTGGTATATTGAAACTCAGTTTAGTCCAGTTCATTGTAGTTTACAATTCACTGCTGATAGTATTTTGTTGGTGGTATTCAAATTTCTTTTCAAAATTTATTCAAAATGTATTTTTTTTATTTATTTATTTTTTTAACTGCTGAAGCTTTTCTTGTGGTGTTCGTTATTATCACGATATTGACCGAAGCTGCAAGAAAGGTTACTTGAACAGGTATAATAATGCAAAAAATCATGCTTCTCTTTCTTTGATTTTGTCTTGTTTCTTGCATAAATATCAAAAAATTCTTAGATCGAGTAAAATTAATTGTTTTGTTTTCACCTTCAGAAGAAACAAGTCAAATTTTGTTTAAAACAAGCAACATTATCTGCAAATGGGTTAGCAAAATAATGTGGTTTTTGACTAGAAACGAGTCCATTAAGTGCACACAGCATGCCATATTATCTGATTATTGTTAGAAATAATACCAAAAACGCAGTTGACTGTGTAAAGCCACATAAAACAAAACAAAAATATGATGTATATGCCGAGTCCAGCGGCTAATCAGCCAGAATCAGCTGAGGTGAGGTGACAGTGACCAGTGAGACCTAGCTGTCACTCAAGTGGCCATGGCCTTAAAGGGCCATGAAACCCCCTTGTTTCAGCAGGGTGTTTTCACACCTCTACTTTGGAAAAAGTCTGAAAAGTGGGCGTGTCCAGCTCTGTTTAGGTGGGAGTGTCGGAGGAACTAAAGTGGGATGGTGTGGGAGTGTCTATAAGGGTGCGCTGAATTTCAGAGTCCAAACACACACACACGGGAGAAAGTGACTGTTTACATGGTCATCTGTAGTCGAATTATTTGCCAAATGATTAAATAGTGGACTTTAACTGCAGTTCGGCTCTTTCATTCAGGGAATTCAGTCACGTCCCTCAGGACAAACGAGATATTTGATTCAAGGAACTGCTCTAAGCGTGTATTTTTCATGCAATGTTTGATACCGCACGGCGAATGAGAGAAAAAAAACCTCTGCATTTCCCGGAAACTTAAATGCAAAAGGCAGGTAGTGTCAGAAAGCCGCAAGTGTTATTCCGGTCACTAAATGCGGTGAAAATCCTACATGAGGTTAAAGTTTGGTTGTAGTGCTAACATTTTTACACTCAGTGCAATAGTTATTCGATACGAACAAACTGAGTAAACAAAGAGCACTGGTCGCTCACTTACCAAATCTGTAGAGACAGGACAATCCACAGCAACTAGAGCCGCGTCTTTATTAAGAGGAGACTACAAGCGAATCTGGATCTCAGCGTTTGCAGATGAGAACAGCTCTCAGGTAAACAATGTTCCTCCTTAGACACGTAAGTTATTGTTGTCGAGTGTCGCGTACACTGTTAATCCACACGTGACTCCAGCTGAGCTCTCACAGAGAGAAAATGAAAACAAAACTTAACGGCAGCAAACTATAAAAGCAACACTTCACGCTTGTTTTGCCAATACAACGTGGCGTCTCTGTCGTCTAAACACTGTGACAGTAATGAATATTAATGAAGCTGCACAATAGAGCGCGCTGATTGGTTTGAACCAAGTCTTACTCATGCATTAATGCATCACACTGTAAGACGTAATAACACACACTCTGGCACATTCTGGCACATCCATTCTGCACGCTGGAATACAAGGCTATTATCTCATGTTTTTAGCAGTATGGGACACATATACGACTGTCAAAAAATGTATTTTGGTGTTTTTTGACCCTTTAATTATGCAGACTTAATATAACTTAATGAAAACGGAATGAATGAGTTTACCCCCTCACTTGTCATGAAGGGTAATATTAGCTATATACACCAAAATTATTTTTGTACCAGGTAGAGCTGCACAATTAATCGAAAAAAGATTGCGATCTCGACTCGACCCCTAGACGATCTTAATCCAGCATTTCTACGATTCTGCCAATCATATTTTCGAGTTCAGGAGAGAAGAAAAGGCGGCTGCACGAGTCTTTTCATTGTTTCACACACGTTGCTCAGTGACATGGACACCTTCAAATGATGTTGAATGAGTCACATACTGTATTTATAATGTATATTTCACCTAAAAAATGTAATTTTTGTCATCATATAATGATGTTTTTGTGGCCGGGAAATCACACGTGATGCGAGTTGCTGACCGTGAGCTGTTATCACAGAGAGGGAGGGAGCGCACCCAACTTAATGATAGACATGCGCGCATCTACTTTAGTGAACAGAACCTGCATGCATATGCTGTAACAGGTAATACAGTTGTAAATAATATTAAGTTTGTGGCACAGAGTGATCGTTTGAGAGCCGCGTGCGAAGTATGAACAAGCAACTTAGCAGTGAAAATGAAACTGTAAGTGTGCACATCATTTAAATGATCAAATCGCATTTTAGAGTTATGACTGCGACAAGCATTTGATATGTTTTCTTTCCTAGTGAACAGAGTTGGGCATGAAAATACATGTTTACAGTGTTAGTATACCTACTCTAGCCTATATATTGATGAATATAATCTAATAATGACAACTGTCTGATTTTACCAGTGAATAAAATTGTCTAATAATGTCAAACATAATAATTCAACATCAGAATTATTATAAGTAGAATAGAATTATTTATAGAAACCAGTAGACCTAAACAAAATATTATTATGTATTTTTTGCCATATGTTTGTTTTTACCATACCTTTATTTTACTTCTACAAAATCGTGAGAAAATCGTGATCTTTATTTCAAGCAAAAAATCGCATTTTAGCAAGAATCGTGCAGCTCTACTACCAGGCTGTGAACATGTTTTTATTAGCTGTAAAGTTGGCCATTTTAACATTGGACTCAATATAAATTTGCTTTATTTTGGATCCAGGCCTAGCAAACTTTCGATGAAGTGTAGTTTCAGTCACTTTCGTATCAGCTTCATGAGAGAGAGTGGAAGGTTGCTGCATGGTGACGGCAGAGGATGATGAGAGAGGACCAGGTCTAGACTCTTTGTTTTGGTTTTGCTTTCGGTCACCTAGGTTAAACGGGTTAACCTTGCTTAACCTGTTTTTTTTTTATTGTTAAAACTATTTATAAGTTTGTCGATTTTTCCACCTCCTTCCTGATGACCAGGAGTCGTCTAACATTATTACAGAAACATTGTGTAGCCCTAGTTTTAAAAACTAATTTGTAATAGATTTATTGTTTCTTTGCAATGACGACAGAACATATTATTCTACTAGTTATTTTGAAAGATACTAGTATTTAGCTTAAAGTGCAAAGACTTAACTAGGTTTAATTAGGTTATTGAATTAGGTTAATTAAGTTATTGGATAGCAGTGTTTTTTTTCTGTAGCCAATTGAAAAATAAAAAAATCATTGATCGGGCTAATAACGTTAACCTTGAAAAAAATGAAGCCGCTTTTACTCCAGCCAAACTGAAATAAATAACCTTTTCCAGAATTTAAAAAGAAATACTGTGAAAATGTCCTGGGTCTGGATCATTTGGGAAATATTTGATAAAGAATAAATATTTCACGAGGAGAAAATAATTTGGACTTCAACTGTACATGTTCAGAGTGAACAAATCAGTGTCAAACAAACTAAATTGCAAAAGGATTATTAAGAACAACAGGTAATGCAACTTTGGACTGCCTCCCTATATATCAGGGGTCTCAAACTCGCGGCCCACGGGCCATTTGCGGCCCTCAGTGCAATATTTTGTGGCCCGCGCCGACCGCTGTACTCTGACAGAATCAGCGGAGCGGGGAGAGAGAGAGCGCTCCCCGCTCCACTGATTCTATCCGTACACAGCGCGCTTGTCACTCAATGCGCGTTGTCGCGCGCGTTCTGATCAGCTGTGTTGTCGCGCGCGTACTCAAGAGCGGTGTTATTGCGCGCCTACTGAAGGGCGGGACCGAGGGTGTGTCGCGTCGCGGGGGCACTTTTGATCATTTTGGAAGGGCACTTTCTATGCAAGACTAAAATGGGCATGTGCTCTGCACAGGTTGAGCCCTATGTGTGCACGTGCCTGCCCTGCATCTTATATATATCATAGGTAGATACAGACTGGTACAGACTGATGTGACTGGAGTGGGGTGGGGGTGTTTTATTTATACATATATACACCTTTTTTTAGGTGAGGGAATGGAAGTTTTGAGTGAGTTCCCCCACTTTTTTCCCTAGGACTTCAATAAGTCAAAGTACAGGTCTAGACTTAATGATGATCATCTTCAAGCCATACTGAGGGTCTCAACTGCTTCCGCTCTAAAGCCAAATGTGGTTCAGATTTGTGAGAAGAAGCGCTGTCAAGTCTCTGGCAGCAAGAAATAGGCAAAAGATGCCATGTTCAGAAGAACTGTTCATAATCTTCACTCAATGTTCTATTAATGTTCAGGACACTTCATGTTCAGAAGAAATAATTAAAACTGTTAATAATGACATTTGAGGACTTTTTTTTGTGAAATCCCTTATGCAGCCCAGCCTCACCCAGACTTTGCCTCCTGCGGCCCCCAGGTAAATTGAGTTTTAGACCCCTGCTATATATCATGACACTGTCACTTTATCATAATTCTCTTGTTTACAAGCCTTTTTGCACTATATACTGTTCTATACCTGCACAACTCTGGTTTGCACTCATTGCCATATGCCCTTAATGTCATTGTATTGTATTGTTTTGTATTGTTTACAAATTTGTATTTATTTTTTTATTCTTTAGACTACATTTTATGTATATATTTAGATAACATTTTATGTATAATTGTATTTATTGTAAATTCTTTCTTAAAACTGTACTTTTTGTATTGACATTATATGTTAGGCACCTAGGGTTTGAGAATAAAGTAATTTCGATTCTCTATATGTCCTGCACATGTGGTTGAATTAAAAATAAAGCCGACTTTGACTTACAATAAAGTC